GTCCTACAGCAGAAACACTGAGGGAGTGCTGCACTGTCACAGGGACATTGTCCTACAACAGAAGTGCTGAAACCAGCGCCCCAGTGGCTTTAGTAGTTGACTATAAATTGTTCCTGTTTCTGTTTGAAGAATAAGGAAGATGTCACACGTAATCTGGCTAATACTGACCATTGAAACCTCTTCAAAAGAACCCTGATGATCCAGTCATTTTGGCTATGAATTTGGCAATGGCCAAACTGGTTGCTGCAATACGTGCAATACGGTGACGACCCACCAGGAGGCACTACAGTGTTTGGTGATACGTTTATGTTGTTAGTGTGGTAAACTGCAGCCTGTTGTGTTTCTGCTGTGTTGCATTTGCTGCTACAGTGAGGAACACGGGTAGATTAGTATTCAGAATGAAGCCACTGTAGCTGCATAGCCCTACACTCAGTACTTCCCGTCCCTTTGTGGAGAGTCGTTCACGTGTCCCGATCTCATTTGATGCCCCAATTTGCAGTGACTGACTAACCGTGAGCTGTCAGAGTACTTACACCTTCCCAGATTCCTGAAGCATCTCCAGCCAGTGCTGCTGGTCAAACTCAGTCTCGGCTGCAAGTAATATGTTTCCCTGAAGAGAAAATGCAGAGAGTTCACGTTAACCCTTCCACTCATTACTGGGGGAGGCTAAAATTTTGGTGACTCCTCACTTTTGAGAAGCATGGTCCGACGGGTGATCGGACAATGGAGTCACAGAATTGTTAACAATATAGCATGATGCCATTCAGGCCATGGTGTCTGTACTAGCTCTCAGAGCATTTTAACTGAAGTGCCAGTCTCCTGCTTCTTCCACCATAACCCTGCATCATGTTTCTATTTAAATTATTATCTAATACCCCTCTTGAATGGCACAACTGAACCTGCCTCCCACACACGCCCAGGCAGTGCATTGCACATGGTACACACTCACTGTGTGAGAAGTTTTTTTCTCATCTTCCATTTGCTTTTTCTGCACAACACTTCAATTCTGTGCCCTATGGTTCTCAACTGATAGTTGAGTTGGAACCGTTTCTCCCTATCCCCTTTGCCCAGAACCATCTTGATTGAGAAAATTCAATCAAATCTCCTCTTAACCATTTTCTCTCCATAGAAAGGAAGACCTAGCTGCTCCAATCTCTCCTCATAACTGCATTATCCAGGGTTATGAAATGTGTCAATGGTCAAGTGTCTCAATTAAACACGCTCAGAAGGGCTAGGGGCCAGGATTCTGATCTAAGTATCAACAGGAAGTTGAACTGAGACATTCTGATGAACAGTTATGGAGTGGAGAGATTGCTGGAACTAAACCTGGGCTGACCCTCTTCCAGAGCAAAAAAAAATCACACATCAACCAAACCTTGCCCTGTTTCTCTCTGCGCTGATGGTTCCGGTTTCTCCAGCATTATCTGTTTTTGCTTCAGATTACCAGCATTCTCAGTACTTTGCCTCTCCACTTTTATGGTCCATTCCCTTTGAAATGAGGTCCAACATTCCATTTGCCTTCCTCATTAACCATTGAATTGTGGCTTTTTGTGATCCATGGCTGAGGTTTGTGAAATCCCTGTTCTGTGGCTTTCTGCTGTCCTTCTCCATTTAAGTAATGTTCAGTTCCTCTATTCTTCCGGCCAAAGTGCATAACCTCACTTTATGCTCCATCTGCCAAGTTTTTACTCAAGCTGTCTATATACTCTTCTGCAGACTCGTTGCATCAATCTCACCACTTGACTTCCCACCTATTTCTGTGTCATACACAAACGTAGCTATAGTACATTCACTTTCCCTAAACAAGTCATTAATATGTGTTGCAAATAATTGTGGATGCAGCACTGCTCCCTGTGGAATTGCACTAGTTACAGATTGCCATCCTGAAAATGCTCCCCTTACCCAAACTCTATTTTTCTATGAGTTAACTAATCCTCTATCCATGCTAATATACTACCTCCAACACCATCAGCTCTTACGTTATTAAGTAGCTAACATGTGATATCTTAAAAAACACCTTTTGAAATCCAGATATATTATGTCTACTGGTTCCCCTTCATCTATCCTCCTCAAGTAATATTTTTCTAAGGCCCATTTCCCCTTCATGAAGCCATGCTGACTCTGCAGCTGTAACAGTCAGCAGTGCCCTGGAAGCACACCCGCAGGTCAAAAGTCAGTGATTTTATCAAAAGCACTTATTCACTTTAACGAGTCACTTATTCTTTTTGCTCTGTTAGTGAAAATTGATGCCACACTTCCTACGTTGTGTACATTGTGTAAAGAGATACAGTCGTCAGAGGATCATGAACATCTGTCCTCCTTTGAGAGAGACAATTAGTTATATATACGTTGACAGGGTGACTACAGTATGGGGTAAGGGGAGGACCCCATAAATTGTATTACGATTCATCCATGCTGTTTGGTTGATTCTGTATCACTCTCTAATTATCCAGCCAACTGAGCTAACTGACCCCACTGTTTCTACATTATATAAAGTCATAGAATCATAGCGTCATACAACATGGAAATAGACCCTTCAGTCCAACTTGTCCATGCCGACCAGGTTTCTTAAACTGAACTAATCCCATTTGCCTGCATTTGTCACATAACCCTCTAAACCTTTCCGATCCATGTATCTATCCAAATATCTTTTAAATGTTGTAATAGTACCCACCTCTACCACTTCCTCTAACAGCTTGTTCCATACGCACACCACCCTCTGTGTGAAAAAGTTGCCCCTGAGATCCCTTTTAAAACTTTGCCCTCTTATCTTATTAAACCTATTAAACCTATGCCCTCTATTTTTGGACACCCTATTCTGGGGAAAAGACCTTAGCTAGACCTGTTATCTGTGCCCCTCATTTATTTTATAAACATCTATAAGGTCAGCCCTCAACCTCATATGTTCCAGGGAAAGAAGTCCCAGCCTATCCAGCCTCTCCATATAATTCAAACCCTCCTTGTAAATCTTTTCTGCACCCTCTCTTGAGCAACTAGAACTGTACGCAGTACTCCAAATGTGGCCTTACCAGTGTCTTGTACAGCCATGACATGATGCCCCAACTTCTGTCCTCAATGCTCTGACTAATGAAGGCAAGCATGCTAATCACCTTCTTCACCATCCTGTCTACCTGTGATGCCACTTTTAAGGAACTGTGTACCTCTTCTCTTTGTTCCCCAGGGCCCTATCATTAACTGTGTAAGTCCTGCCCTGGTTTGTCTTACAAAATGGAACAGCTTACATTTATCTAATGTCTGTGACTCCTCTTCCAAAGCACCGAAATAGGAAGTGAAGTACTCTCCTGCAATTTGGGGATAAGGTGCCATTCAGTGGCCAGTTTCTGAATTTGGCTGTGGAGGGTTATGTGACAAATGCAGGAATACAGAGTACTGGGCTAATGCCAGGAATACAAAGTACTGGGCTAATGGTAAGATTCTTGGTTGTGTGGATGAGCAGAGAGATCTTGGTGTCCATGTGCATAGATCACTGAAAGTTGCCACCCAGGTTGATAGGGTTGTTAAGAAGGCGTACGGTGTGTTAGGTTTTATTGGTAGAGGGATTGAGTTTCGGAGCCATGAGGTCATGTTCCAGCTGTACAAAACTCTGGTGCGGCCACACTTGGAGTATTGCGTACAGTTCTGGTCACGGCATTATAGGAAGGATATGGAAGCAGAGGAGATTTACCAGGATGTTGCCTGGTATGGAGGCAAGGTCTTATGAGGAAAGGCGGAGGGACTTGAGGCTATTTTCGTTAGAGAGAAGAAGGTTAAGAGGTGACTTAATAGAGACATACAAGATGATCAGAGGAATAGATAGGGTGGACAGTGGGAGCCTTTTTCCTCGGATGGTGGTGGCTAGCACGAGGGGACATAGATTTAAATTGAGGGGTGATAGATATAGGACAGATGTCAGAGGTAGGTTCTTTACTCAGAGAGTAGTAAGGGCGTGGAATGCCCTGCCGGCAAAAGTAGTAGATTCACCAACTTTAAGGGCATTTAAATGGTCATTGGATAAACATATGGATGATAATGGAATAGTTTAGGTTAGATGGGCTTCAGATTGGTTTCACAGGTCGGCACAACATCGAGGGCCGAAGGGCCTGTACTGCGCTGTAATGTTCTATGTTCTATGTTCTAGATGCTTCTATGAGGGTGGTGCCCATTTCTGGAGCTGGGGTGATGGAGGTGGGGGAGGGGGTTTCTTGTCGAGCCAGGGATTGGTTTCGGGTGGGCAGGCTGAAGATGGTGCAGGTAAGACTTGATGGCAATATTTAAGGAAGGAAAGCTTAGCGAGCAGTGGAGAGGGAAGGGGGCATGTGGAGTTTGTGAATATTTGGGGAACTTGACTGGGAGAAATCAGCCAACACCGTGAGCTGGATAGTAAAATATTTGTTTTCCATTCAATGAACCCTGTTCGATTCGATTGCACTCTCGCTAATTAGATTCCATAAATTATGGGTTCATAACATTATTGTCTGGCGATGTAAACCACATAAATTTACCTTTTCTGGTTTGAGGTACTCAATCGATTCATTCCAAATCACTTAATTCATTTGCTGCATTCATTTTACTGGACTTACAATTTTTTTTGAGTCCATTGAGTTGGCCCTGATACTGCTGAACCCAATGGAAACTGTGAGACGAGACAGCAGTGACTTGCTGTAGCAACTTGTAACTTCATTCATCAGACTCAGCCACTCACTGGTAGAGTCATTGAGTCATACAGCCATGCAGCATGCAAACAGACCCTTCAGTCTAACTCGTCCATGCCAACCAGCTTTCCCAAACTGAACCAGTCCCATTTGCCTGCATTTGGTCCAAATCCCTCTAACCCTTTCCTAACAATGCATCTATCCAAACGTCTTTTACGTGTTGTAACTATACCAGCCTCTACCACTTCCCCTGGCAGCTCATTTCATACCACTCTCTAGTGAAAAAGTTGCCCCTCAGATCCCTTTTAAATCTTTCCCCTCTCACTTTAACCCTATGGCCTCTAGTTTTGGACTCCCCCACCCTGTAGAAATCAGCTTGGCTATTCACCCTTTCCATGCCCCTCATTATTTTCTAAACCTCTATAAGGTCACCCCTCAACCTCTGACATTCCAGGGAGAAAAGTCCCGGCCTATCCAGCCTCCTGATACAATTCAAACCCACTAGTCCTGGCAACATCCTTGTAAATCTTTTCTTACAGTTTAATAATATCCTTCCTATAGCAGGATGACCAGAACGATTCTTCAAAGCTAAAGAGGAGGAGAACACCAAAGCCATTGGAGCAAAGCTATAAATATTACCCTCGATTGCTAAGACTACAAGATGTAGGAGCATGATTAGGCCATTCAGCCCATCGGGTCTGCTCTGCCATTCAATGAGATTGTGGCTGATCTGATAATCCTCAGCTCCACTTTCCCACCTGTTCCACAAAGATGCTTGGTTCCCTTACTGATTAAAAATTTGTCTCTCAGCCTTGAATATACTTAATGACCGAGCCTCGATAGCCCTCTGAGGTAAAGAATTCCACAGATTTACCACCCTCTGAGAGAAGAAATTCCTCCTCATCTCTGTCTTAAATGGGTGACCCCTTATTCTGAGATGATGCCTCTGCGCCTAGAC